ACGTACCCCCATGTACCTACCCCCTATGTACTTCCCCCATGTATTTCCGCCACGTACTTACCCTCATGTATTTCCCTCCTCATGTACAACCCCCATGTACCTACCCCCTATGTATTTCCCTCATGTACTTCCCCCATGTACCTACCCCCTATGTACTTCCCCCCATGTACTTCCCTTCTCATATACTACCCCCCATGTGCCTATCACCATGTACCTACTCCCTATGTACTTTCCCCCATGTACCTACCCCCTACATACTCCCCCCCCCCATCTACTTCCTTCCATGTATTTCCCCCACGTACTTACCCCCATGCACTTCCCTTCTCATGTACTACCCCCATGTACTTCCCCCACGTACTTACTCCGATGTACCTTCCCCTATGTACTTCCCTCCTCATATACTACCCCCTATGTATTTCCCCAATGTATTTACCCCCATGTACCTACCACTAAATAGTTCCCCCCATGTACTTACCCCCATATCTCCTATCCCCCACTTACTTCCTCTTATGTACCTACCCCATATGTACCCCCCCCCCCCCCATGTATTTCCTCCACATACTTACCCCCATGTACCTTCCCCTATATACTTTCCTCCTCATGTACTACCCCCATGTACCTACCCCTTTGTATTTACCCCATGTATTTACCCCTATGTACTTACCCCATATCTCCTATCCCTCCTCATGTACTGCCCCCTATGTACTTCCCCGACGTACTTCCCCCCATGTACCTACCCCTATGTACTTCCCTCCTCATGTACTACCCCCATGCATTTCCCCCATGTACGTACCCCCTATGTACTTCCCCCCATGTACTTAACCTCATGTTCTTCCCTCCTTATGTACTACCCCCATGTACCTACCCCCTATGTACTTACACCATGTACTGTATCTACCCCCATATGTATTTCCCCCACGTACTTACCCCCATGTACCTACCTCCTATGTACTTCCCCCCAATGTTCTTCCCCTCATGTACCTACCCCCTATGTACTTCCCCCCATGTATTTCCTCCAAGTGCTTACCCTCGTGTTCTTCCTCCTCATATACTACACCCATGTACTTACCCCCTATGTAAATCCCCCCTGTGTACTGTATCTATCACATATGTACTACCCCCCCAATGTAGTTCCCCCCACATACTTCCCACCATGTACTACCCCCCCAATGTACTATCCCCCATGAACTTCCCCCTTGTACTTCCCTGTACTTCCCTGTACTAAAGGATGACCCAAAAACCTTAGCGGTTCCTAAGGGGGTAGTGCTACATGATGCCGGACAAGCACCCACATGTACCTCCTTAGGAGTTGTGGGTCCCCATCAGTCCTGCACAGCCAGGCATCACTCATCTTCTTCCTCCATACTTGCACACTGAGACAGTAACCAGTCCTTAGGCTTGTTTTTGTGATTTTATTAAGGGGTATCAACTTGGATGGGGTTGAGGGATGCATGGGACGCCCAAGGAACTGTGAACTGCCAGGACAAGTCTATGGTCCAGAAGCAACATCTGTCTCTTCTATGAGAGCACTCCAGCTCCCAAGTGTACCTCCTCGGACCCCAGATGAATCCTCCTCTTCACCCAGCTGCCTGAGGGTAAATCCCTGGGCAAGTGGACCCAGAAGCTGCCAAAGATTAACCAGGTCCAGCTGAGGAGCTAGTTGGGGTTCCCTACATGACTGCCCTCTCCCCTTATCCAACCCATCAAGGTTACTCACATTGTCTGTCCTGATGGTTTTATGGGTTGGCAGCCGCCTTCAGGCCTTCAGCTGGGCTGGCTCCTTCCCTGCTGCTCAGGCTGTCCCTCCTAGTAGACGGTGGCACAGTGGAGGTCCCCTCTTCCAGAATCAGCCTGTAGGTAGGCCCCTTCCCTGGGCCCCCTCCAAGGCTGCACACTCCATCCTCATACTCCATCTTCCACCCAACCCACACACTGACCACTTCCTGCTGATCAGGCTCAATCATATCTGAGGGCTGTTGTGACCCCATGCCAAGCCTCCTGCTTGGGGATTGGTCAAGGTCCCTCAGGCATGTAGATCAGCCCCTCCTCACCCCCTCCCACTGTCTTCTAGAAATTTCTCAAGTATCTACAACAGGGGAGGTATCAGGTAACTGTCCTGCAGAGCCCTCAGCCCTGACCTAAGGTAACCTGGCTGACTCATGCCCAGGCTGCTATTCAGCCTCTTCCCAAAACACCTAGCTAGCTCCTCCTGGCTCACTAGAGGGGCGCTACATAGACATGCTGTACATATGCATACATAGACCTGCACTGCCAGCAGATCGGAGAGTTCTCGGTCTCTGTAGACTCATTTGGGGGAATCAATATAGACTGTTGGAGGTCTCTTCCATTTGTGTGCAGCACCAACAGTGTCGGAGCTTGGCCCAATTCCTGTACCGGTCTGTGGCCGTGATGGCGGAAGGAGCAATTACCGGCATTTGTCGCATGGATGAGTAATGTAGACAGTGACACCAATGCTGGTCAGAATTAGGGAGTCCTTCAAGGAACCTCCTCCGGAAAGCAGTCATTGGGGTCAGTTATTCCCTCCATCTCCTTGTAGGTTACATGGAACGTGCCGAGGCCATTGGTCAGTGACATTGCTCTGGTAGGTGAAGGAACCCATTCCCAGCCCACTTACCAGCCAGCCTGGAACCCACCGAATTGTCCCAACACTTCACATACAACAAGGGGTTTGGTTTGCGCACATTTGAGAATACAAGCGGCAGCGACCACGTCCCGGCACCCCAGGATCTGCAGTCCTAACTCCATAGTAGGAGCACTTGGACAGATTGGGGGCAGGTATGCCTGGAGGGAGCCCACCCTTAAAAGGTGTCGGGACGCATTGGACACCCAGGAATAGCATGTGATTGGTCAGACACGTCATTCAGCTTGTTGCAGGCTGGCTGCTAAGTGAGCTGGGAATTCTTCTTTGTTGTTTTTTTACATACGACACCCTTCCGTGTGCTCCTGGGGGCAACGGGCAGTTATAGGTCGGGGTGGGGGGGCCACTTGTTGTACTGTTGGTGACCTGGTGAGGGGGAGCACTGGATACCCTCAGCTGCCATTGTGCCATTGGGTGTCCACTGTGTCCCATTACATTTAAGGAGAGGTGGGCTCCCTCCAGGCATACCTGCCCTCAATCGTATTATCCCCACCCTCCCAATCATGTGATTCAGGTGTTCCAATCCCCTCCATATCATGTGATTCAGGTGTTCCAATCCCCTCCATATCATGTGATTCAGGTGTTCCAATCCCCTCCATATCATGTGATTCTGGTGTTCCTATCCCCTCCCAATCATGTGATTCAGGTGTTCCAATCCCCTCCATATCATGTGATTCAGGTGTTCCAATCCCCTCCATATCATGTGATTCTGGTGTTCCTATCCCCTCCCAATCATGTGATTCAGGTGTTCCAATCCCCTCTCAATCATGTGATTCAGGTGTTCCAATCCCCTCCATATCATGTGATTCAGGTGTTCCAATCCCCTCCCAATCATGTGATTCAGGTGTTCCCATCCCCTCCATATCATGTGATTCTGGTGTTCCAATCCCCTCCATATCATGTGATTCGGGTGTTCCAATCCCCTCCATTTCATGTGATTCGAGTGTTCCAATCCCCTCCATATCATGTGATTCGGGTGTTCCAATCCCCTCCATATCGTGATTCTGGTGTTCCAATCCCCTCCATATCATGTGATTTGGGTGTTCCAATCCCCTCCGTATCATGTGATTTAGGTGTTCCAATCCTCTCCGTATCATGTGATTCAGTCGTTCCAATCCCCTCCGTATCATGTGATTCGGGTGTTTCAATCCCCTCCATATCATGTGATTCGGGTGTTCCAATCCCCTCCGTATCATGTGATTCGGGTGTTCCAATCCCCTTCGTATCATGTGATTCGGGTGTTCCAATCCCCTCCGTATCATGTGATTCGAGTGTTTCAATCCCCTCTGTATCATGTGATTCGGGTGTTCCAATCCCCTCCGTATCATGTAATTTGGGTGTTCCAATCCCCTCCGTATCATGTGATTCGGGTGTTCCAATCCCCTCCGTATCATGTGATTTGGGTGTTCCAATCCCCTCCATATCATGTGATTCAGGTGTTCCAATCCCCTCCATGGACACAGGTGTATACAATCAAGCCCCTAGACATGCAGACGGCTTCTACAAACATTGGGGAAGCCACTCACCAGCTGTGTACTGAGCTGTATAGAGGTGATAGCAGAAGAGGGCGGAGTCACGGCACCACATATTCCTCGTCTGTCCCTCTGTTTGCTCTCACCAATCAGCTCTCAGCTTCCTCATCGAGTCGGTAAATGAAAGGAATAAACGTCGCCGATCCATTCACCTAACGCGGATTAGTCACCAACAACACAATCTACAGACGGAAATGAAACTTCCTGCAACCCGGGATATTGTCATCATATGGAGCCGCCAACCTCCAGGCTGGGGGGTCACACCTATGCGTGTCACATGCGTGTTACTATGTGTGTCGCTCCCTGACCCTGAGCAAAACTCAGCAGCTGAACACGCATAGATGTGACCGTGTCCCATAGGAGACCACGCTAAATGGACTGTAATTAGTGTCTGCAAAACGCAAAAATTCCAAAAAACGCATCACTGAGAACCCGGCCTGGGGGCTCATTCACATCACGGTGCAGAGATGGCGATTATTCTGCAAGGGACCAAATCAACAGATCTCTATATGTACTATTCACAGCACAACACGGGACCCCGCATTCACTATATCCGCTCTCAGGGGCCCCGCATTCCCTATATCCGCTCTCAGGGGCCCTGCATTCACTATATCCGCTCTCAGGGGCCCCACATTCACTATATCCGCTCTCAGGGGCCCCACATTCACTATATCCGCTCTCAGGGGCCCCACATTCACTATATCCGCTCTCCCCCCGGACCCCGCATTCACTATATCCGCTCTCAGGGGCCCCACATTCACTATATCCGCTCTCAGGGGCCCCACATTCACTATATCCGCTCTCCCCGGACCCCGCATTCACTATATCCGCTCTCCCCGGACCCCGCATTCACTATATCCGCTCTCAGGGGCCCCACATTCACTATATCGCTCTCCCCCGGACCCCGCATTCACTATATCCGCTCTCCCCGGACCCCGCATTCCCTATATCCGCTCTCCCCGGACCCCGCATTCACTATATCCGCTCTCCCCGGACCCCGCATTCACTATATCCGCTCTCCCCGGACCCCGCATTCACTATATCCGCTCTCAGGGGCCCCACATTCACTATATCCGCTCTCAGGGGCCCCACATTCACTATATCCGCTCTCCCCGGACCCCGCATTCACTATATCCGCTCCCCCCGGACCCCGCATTCACTATATCCGCTCTCCCCGGACCCCGCATTCACTATATCCGCTCTCAGGGGCCCCACATTCACTATATCCGCTCTCCCCGGACCCCGCATTCACTATATCCGCTCTCCCCGGACCCCGCATTCACTATATCCGCTCTCCCCGGACCCCGCATTCACTATATCCGCTCTCAGGGGCCCCACATTCACTATATCCGCTCTCAGGGGCCCCACATTCACTATATCCGCTCTCCCCGGACCCCGCATTCACTATATCCGCTCCCCCCGGACCCCGCATTCACTATATCCGCTCTCCCCGGACCCCGGATTCACTATATCCGCTCTCCCGGACCCCGCATTCACTATATCCGCTCTCCCCGGACCCCGCATTCACTATATCCGCTTTCCCGGACCCCGCATTCACTATATCCGCTCTCCCCGGACCCCGCATTCACTATATCCGCTCTCCCCGGACCCCGCATTCACTATATCCGCTCTCCTCGGACCCCGCATTCACTATATCCGCTCTCCCCGGACCCCGCATTCACTATATCCGCTCTCCCCGGACCCCGCATTCCCTATATCTGCTCTCAGGGGCCCTGAATTCACTATATCCGCTCTCAGGGGCCCCACATTCACTATATCCGTTCTCCCCGGACCCCGCATTCACTGTATCCGCTCTCCCCGGACCCCGCATTCACTGTATCCGCTCTCCCCGGACCCCGCATTCACTATATCCGCTCTCCCCGGACCCCGCATTCACTATATCCGCTCTCCCCGGACCCCGCATTCACTATATCCGCTCTCCCCGGACCCCGCATTCACTATATCCTCTCTCCCCGGACCCCGCATTCACTATATCCGCTCTCCCCGGACCCCGCATTCACTATATCCGCTCTCCTCGGACCCCGCATTCACTATATCCGCTCTCCCCGGACCCCGCATTCACTATATCCACTCTCAGGGGCCCTGCATTCACTATATCCGCTCTCAGGGGCTCCGCATTCACTATATCTGCTCTCAGGGGCCCCGCATTCACTATATCCGCTCTTAGGGGCCCCGCATTCACTATATCCGCCCCCCCTGGACCCCGCATTCACTATATCCGCTCTCCCCGGACCCCGCATTCACTATGTCCGCTCTCCCCGGACCCTGCATTCACTATATCCGCTCTCCCCGGACCCCGCATTCACTATATCCACTCTCCCCGGACCCCGCATTCACTATATCCGCTCTCCCCCGGACCCCGCATTCACTATATCCGCTCTCCCCGGACCCCGCATTCACTATATCCGCTCTTCCCGGACCCCGCATTCACTATATCCCCTCTCCCCGGACCCCGCATTCACTATATCCGCTCTCCCCGGACCCCGCATTCACTATATCCGCTCTCCCCGGACCCCGCATTCACTATATCCGCTCTCCCCGGACCCCGCATTCACTGTATCCGCTCTCCCCGGACCCCGCATTCACTATATCCGCTCTCCCCGGACCCCGCATTCACTATATCCGCTCTCCCCGGACCCCGCATTCACTATATCCGCTTTCCCCGGACCCCGCATTCACTATATCCGCTCTCCCCGGACCCCGCATTCACTATATCCGCTCTCCCCGGACTCCGCATTCACTATATCCGCTCTCCCCGGACCCCCCGCATTTTGGTGGATTTGAGAAAGGCTGGGATCATCCATACAGATAATAAGAGTTGAATGTAGTATACTGGGGCCCGTGGGGCCCCTCACAGTTCTGCTATAGACACTGCTACAGCCCAGCCCAGATCTGTACATTGTCACCTGCGGGTGTGGACTGCTCTGTCACACAGACAAGAGGTCTGTGATAAGTGAAGCCCTGAGGGGGGGGAGGAGGGATTCCCCATCATTGTGTCTTCTGTTTCCATCACATCAATGTCTAATTCTGGCCACAGATTGTGTCTGACACATACCATCACGGCGTACAACCCCGGGGGCAGGAGCGCCCTTCATTCTGCACATACCATCACGGCGTACAACCCCGGGGGCAGGAGCGCCCTTCATTCTGCACATACCTCAATGCGTGTCTCATTGTGTACAACGTCCCCATGGTTCTGATATACAGAATATATTGCCCAAAGTATTGTCCCCCCCTGCCCCTCCTCCATATCATGTGATTCAGGTGTTCCAATCCCTTCCATATCATGTGATTCAGGTGTTCCAATCCCCCCCAATCATGTGATTCAGGTGAATCCCCCCCAATCATGTGACTCAGGTGTTCCAATCCCCTCCATATCATGTGACTCAGGTGTTCCAATCCCTTCCATATCATGTGATTCAGGTGTTCCAATCCCTTCCATATCATGTGATTCAGGTGTTCCAATCCCCCCCAATCATGTGATTCAGGTGTTCCAATCCCCTCCATGTCATGTGATTCAGGTGTTCCAATCCCCTCCCAATCATGTGATTCAGGTGCTCCAATCCCCTCCATATCATGTGATTCAGGTGTTCCAATCCCCCCCAATCATGTGACTCAGGTGTTCCAATCCCCTCCATATCATGTGATTCAGGTGTTCCAATCCCCTCCATATCATGTGATTCAGGTGTTCCAATCCCCTCCATGGACACAGGTGTATAATATCAAGCCCCTAGGCATGCAGACGGCTTCTACAAACATTGGTGAAAGAATGGGTCGCTCTCAGGAGCTCAGTGACTCCAAGCAAGTATTGGGCGGCCGGCATTCCCACACACATGACCTTTAATGGCCTCCCAGTCTCAGTCCGTAGGGTTCAATATTTATTTATTATTTATTTCAGGTACTTATATAGCGCTGTCAATGTACTCCGCGCTTTACATATATATATTGTATATTCCCATCAGGCCCCGCCCCCAAGGAGCGTACAATCTAAGGTCCCTAACTCACATCCATACATACTAGGGACAATTTAGACAGGAGCCAATTAACCTACCAGCATGTCTTTGGAGTGTGGGAGGAAACCCACGCAAGCACAGGGAGAACATGCAAACTCCATTCAGGAGACGCCATGGTCGGGAATCGAACCCATGACCCATTTACTGCAAGGCAGACATGCCACTGTGCCGCCATATTGCCCCAAGTATTGGACGCCACCCTTTCCACACACATGACCTTTAATGGCCCCCCAGTCTTAGTCTGTAGGGTTCAATATTGAGTTGGCCCCGCCCTTTCCACACATATGACCTTTAATGGCCCCCCCAGTCTTAGTCTGTAGGGTTCAATATTGGGTTGGCCCCGCCCTTTGCAGCTATAACAGCTTCAACTCTTCTGGGAAGGCCGTCCACAAGGTTTAGGAGGGTGTCTATGGGAAGGTTGGACCATTCTTCCAGAAGCACATTTGTCAGGTCAGGCACTGATGTCGGGGGAGGGGCACTGATGTCGGGGGAGGGGGCCTGGCTCACAGTCTCCGCCCTAATTCATCCCAAAGGTGTTCTATGGGGTTGAGGTCAGGACTCTGTGCAGGACAGTCAAGTTCCTCCACCCCAAACTGGCTCCTCCATGTCTTTATGGACCTTGCTTTGTGCACTGGTGGGCAGTCATGGTGGACCAGGAAGGGGCCATCCCCAAACTCCTCCCCACAAAGTTGGGAGCATGAAATTGTCCAAAATGTCGCATTGAGAGTTCCCTTCACTAGAACTAGGAGGCCAAGCCCACCCCCTGAAAAACAACCCCACACCATAATCCCCCCTCCACCAAACCTTACACTTGGCACAATGCAGTCAGGCAAGTACCGTTCTCCTGGCCACCGCCAAACCCAGACATGTCCATCGGATTGTCAGACAGAGAAGTGTGATTGGTCACTCCAGAGAACACGTCTCCCCTGGCGTCCAGTGGCGGCGTGCTTTACACCACGGCATCCGACGCTTTGCATTGCACTTGGTGATGGAAGGCTTGGATGCAGCTGCTCGGCCATGGAAACCCATTCCGTGAAGCTCTCTACGCTCTGTTGTTGGGCTCATCTGAAGGCCACACCAAGTTTGGAGGTCTTTAGCTATTGACTCTGCAGACAGTTGGTGACTTCTGCGCACTGTGCGCTTCAGCATGCACTGACCCCGCCCTGTCATGTGACGTGGCCTACCACTTGGTGGCTGAGTGGCTGTTGTTCCCAGTGGCTTCCACTTTGTTATAATCCCACTAACAGTTGAGCGTGGAATATTTAGTAGCCAGGAAATGTCACGGATGGACTTATTGCCCAGGTGGCCACCTATCACGGGACCACGCTTGGAGCCACTGAGCTCCTGAGAGCGACCCATTCTTTCACCAATGTTTGTAGAAGCAGTCTGCATGCCTAGGGGCTTGATTGTATACCCCTGTGTCCATGGAGGGGATTGGAACACCTGAATCACATGATATGGAGGGGATTGGAACACCTGAATCACATGATATGGAGGGGATTGAACACCTGAATCACATGATATGGAGGGGATTGCAACACCTGAATCACATGATATGGAGGGGATGGGAACACCTGAATCACATGATATGGAGGGGATTGGAACACCTGAATCACATGATATGGAGGGGATGGGAACACCTGAATCACATGATATGGAGGGGATGGGAACACCTGAATCACATGATATGGAGGGGATTGGAACACCTGAATCACATGATACGGAGGGGATTGGAACACCTGAATCACATGATTGGGAGGGGATTGGAATACCTGAATCACATGATATGGAGGGGATTGGAACACCTGAATCACATGATATGGAGGGGATTGGAACACCTGAATCACATGATATGGAGGGGATTGGAACACCTGAATCACATGATACGGAGGGGGATTGGAACACCTGAATCACATGATATGGAGGGGATTGGAACACCTGAATCACATGATATGGAAGGGATGGGAACACCCGAATCACATGATTGGGAGGGGATTGGAATACTTGAATCACATGATATGGAGGGGATTGGAATACCTGAATCACATGATATGGAGGGGATTGGAACACCTGAATCACATGATATGGAGGGGATTGGAACACCTGAATCACATGATATGGAGGGGATTGGAACACCTGAATCACGATTGGGAGGGGGCGGGGACAACAGTGCAAAGTTCAGGGGTGCGCTGTGTACAACCTAACCCCACCACCCTTCCCAATGCTTCCTTGAAACTCTGCTCTCTCCTTCCTGGGCCATCTCTGGTACCTCCCTGTATTTTCGGCTCTAGGACCCCTGTGTAGGCGGCTCTGCTTTGTCCTCTAGGGAGATCGATCTCAGGTTCTGGAGACATTGTCCTCTGCGAGGGATTGGTTACATCTGGGAATGGAGCCGCCGTGAGCTGTCCCGTGAACTCAGAAGGGTTCAGGGTGCGGGAACGGAGGGCGAGTGCCGGAGGAGGTGGAATGGAGTTCCGTCACGTTCCGGCTGCAAAACTGCGAGGGTCACATGACGCGGCCTGGTGGGCTGGATTTGGCCTGCAGGCCTTGTGCTTGAGGTGTTCTAGAGCGTGTGCCGTGTAGTTCTCACTTTTCACCACTAGATGCCTCCATCTGTCTTTAGTTCCTTTATGGGAATTGTTTTGTAGAATCTGTGGGGGCGGAGCCAGGCGTGCCACCAGCTTCTCCTCTGCCTGGGCTCCGGGCGCCATCTTGGGACAGCCTGTGTCTGATTGGACACAGAGTTCTCTTGAGATTAGGGTGACCATCTTGGAGGCAGCGGTGTTACATTTAGGGCCCGCTGGGTGGAGATCCATCTATGAAAGAGGATTGATATTGGAGACGGGTTCCTGGTGAGGAGGGACAGTGTAGGGACCCTCTTGGACACCATTGGATGTCTGGGGAACACCCACTTACCCGTCTTCCAGCGGATTGGCCCGGTGTATTTAGATGGCTACACATAAGTAGACCTGGAATTTGGAGGAAGAATCCGACATTACGTTGTTGTAACTGCTGATTACTCTGCACAAAAATGCTGAAAGGAGAAGTGTGTTCCCTGCAGTCGCTGCCACCTGATTAGCTCCGCCTACACCCACCTGGTGACTACAAGCCGCCATGCTGCCACACATAGGTTGTCACCATCGAGACGTCCGTCCAGAGGAATGAAATGCTGGAGAAGAGCAACGAAAGATGGAAAGGGCTGAAGGCGGAATGTCACAGGGAGGTGATGGGAATAGTTGACGGGACACAGAGCTTTAGCAAACCACATTCCCCCCCCCCCAGTAAGGTGCAGGTGGGCCGCTCCAATCCTCCCCTCCCCCCAGGACAGGAGACGTGACCTCCATTGTGCTGGAAGAACACAGCGTCCTGGACATTCAGTCCTCGCCAGAAACATGTCACAATATTCCCCGAGGATGGGGGAGGGGCGGCCCATTCCTTCTACACCGCGGACACCCCGCCGGGATACAATGGGGATTAGAGGGTGACGGCAGAACAATGGAGCGCCGCGAATGAAAAACACCGACGTGACGGGCGAGGAAACGCCAGAAAAAACACGGCGTGACGGGCGAGGAAACGCCAGGAAAAACACGACGTGACGGGCGAGGAAACGCCAGAAAAAACACGACGTGACGGGCGAGGAAACACCAGAAAAAACACGACGTGACGGGCGAGGAAACGCCAGGAAAAACACGACGTGACGGGCGAGGAAACGCCAGGAAAAACACGACGTGACGGGCGAGGAAACGCCAGAAAAAACACGACGTGATGGGTGAGGAAACGCCAGAAAAAACACGGCGGCGTGACGGGCGAGGAAACGCCAGAAAAAACACGACGTGACGGGCGAGGAAACGCCAGAAAAAACACGACGTGACGGGCGAGGAAACGCCAGAAAAAACACGGCGTGACGAGCGAGGAAACGCCAGAAAAAACACGACGTGACGGGCGAGGAAACGCCAGGAAAAACACGGCGTAACAGGCGAGGAAACGCCAGAAAAAACACGACGTGACGGGCGAGGAAACGCCAGAAAAAACACCAACGTGACGGGCGAGGAAACGCCAGGAGAAACACGACGTGACGGGCGAGGAAACGCCAGAAAAAACACGGCGTGACGGGCGAGGAAACGCCAGAAAAAACACGGCATGACGAGCGAGGAAACGCCAGAAAAAACATGACGTGACGGGCGAGGAAACGCCAGAAAAAACACGGCATGACGGGCGAGGAAACGCCAGAAAAAACATGACGTGACGGGCGAGGAAAACGCCAGAAAAAACACGATGTGACGGGCGAGGAAACTCCAGAAAAAACACGACGTGACGGGCGAGGAAACGCCAGAAAAAACACGACGTGACGGGCGAGGAAACGCCAGAAAAAAAAAAACACGACGTGACGGGCGAGGAAACGCCAGAAAAAACACGACGTGACGGGCGAGGAAACGCCAAAAAAAACATGACGTGACGGTAGAGGAAACGCCAGGAAAAACACGACGTGACGGGCGAGGAAACGCCAGAAAAAAACACCAACGTGACGGGCGAGGAAACGCCAGAAAAAAACACGACGTGATGGGCGAGGCAACGCCAGAAAAAACACGGCGTGACGGGCGAGGAAACGCCAGGAAAAATACGACGTGACGGGCGAGGAAACGCCAGAAAAAACATGACGTGATGGGTGAGGAAACACCAGAAAAAACACGGCGTGACGGGCGAGGAAACGCCAGAAAAAACACGACGTGACGGGCGAGGAAACGCCAGAAAAAACACGGCGTGACGAGCGAGGAAACGCCAGAAAAAACACGACGTGACGGGCGAGGAAACGCCAGAAAAAACACGGCGTGACGGGCGAGGAAACGCCAGAAAAAAACACGACGTGACGGGCGAGGAAACGCCAGGAAAAACACGGCGTAACAGGCGAGGAAACGCCAGAAAAAACACGACGTGACGGGCGAGGAAACGCCAGAAAAAACACCAACGTGACGGGCGAGGAAACGCCAGGAGAAACACGACGTGACAGGCGAGGAAACGCCAGAAAAAACACGGCGTGACGGGCGAGGAAACGCCAGAAAAAACACCAACGTGACGGGCGAGGAAACGCCAGAAAAAACATGACGTGACGGGCGAGGAAAACGCCAGAAAAAACACGGCATGACGAGCGAGGAAACGCCAGAAAAAACATGACGTGACGGGCGAGGAAACGCCAGAAAAAACACGACGTGACGGGCGAGGAAACGCCAGAAAAAACACGACGTGACGGGCGAGGAAACGCCAGAAAAAACACGACGTGACAGGCGAGGAAACGCCAGAAAAAAAAAACGACGTGACGGGCGAGGAAACGCCAGAAAAAACACAACGTGACAGGCGAGGAAACTCCAGAAAAAACACGACGTGACGGGCGAGGAAACGCCAGAAAAAACACGACGTGACGGGCGAGGAAACGCCAGAAAAAACACGACGTGACGGGCGAGGAAACGCCAGAAAAAAACACGACGTGACGGGCGAGGAAACGCCAAAAAAAACATGACGTGACGGTAGAGGAAACGCCAGGAAAAACACGACGTGACGGGCGAGGAAAACGCCAGAAAAAGCACCAACGTGACCGGCGAGGAAACGCCAGAAAAAACACGACGTGATGGGCGAGGCAACGCCAGAAAAAACACGGCGTGACGGGCGAGGAAACGCCAGGAAAAATACGACGTGACGGGCGAGGAAACGCCAGAAATAACGTGACGGGTGAGGAAACACCAGAAAAAACACGGCGTGACGGGTGAGGAAACGCCAGAAAAAACACGGCGTGACGGGCGAGGAAACGCCAGAAAAAACACGGCGAGGAAACGCCAGAAAAAAACACGACGTGACGGGCGAGGAAATGCCCAAAAAAACACCGACGTGATGGACGAGGAAACACCAGAAAAAACACGACGTGACGGGCGAGGAAACACCAGAAAAAACACCGACGTGATGGGCGAGGAAACGCCAGAAAAAAAACTACGTGACGGGCGAGGAAACGCCAGAAAAAAACACCGACGTGACGGGCGAGGCAACGCCAGAAAAAACACGGCATGACGAGCGAGGAAACGCCAGAAAAACACAACGTGACGGGCGAGGAAACGCCAGAAAAAACGTGACGGGCGAGGCAACGCCAGAAAAAACACGACGTGACGGGCGAGGAAACGCCAGAAAAAACATGACGTGACAGGCGAGGAAACGCCAGAAAAAACACGGCGTGACGGGCGAGGAAACGCCAGAAAAAACACAGACGTGACGGGCGAGGCAACGCCAGAAAAAACACGGCATGACGAGCGAGGAAACGCCAGAAAAACACGACGTGACGGGCGAGGAAACGCCAGAAAAAACATGACGTGACGGGCGAGGAAACGCCAGAAAAAACACAATGTGACGGGCGAGGAAACGCCAGAAAAAACATGACGTGACGAGCGAGGCAACGCCAGAAAAAACAGGACGTGACGGGAGAGGAAACGCCAAAAAAAACATGACGTGACGGGAGAGGAAACGCCAGGAAAAACATGACGTGACGGGCGAGGAAACGCCAGAAAAAACACCAACGTGACGGGCGAGGAAACGCCAGAAAAAAAAAACACGACGTGACGGGCGAGGAAACGCCAGAAAAAACACGGCGTGACGGGCGAGGAAACGCCAGAAAAAACACGACGAGGAAACGCCAGAAAAAACACGACGAGGAAACGCCAGAAAAAACACGACGTGACGGGCGAGGAAACGCCAGAAAAAACACGACGTGACGGGCGAGGAAACGCCAGAAAAAAAACGACGTGACGGGAGAGGAAACGCCAGGAAAAACACGACGTGATGGGCGAGGAAAACGCCAGAAAAAACACGGCGTGACGGGCGAGGAAACGCCAGAAAAAAACACGGCGTGACGGGCGAGGAAACGCCAGAAAAAACACGGCGTGACGGGCGAGGAAACGCCAGAAAAAACACCAACGTGACGGGCGAGGAAACGCCAGAAAAAACACGACGTGACGGGCGAGGAAACGCCAGAAAAAACACGGCGTGACGGGCGAGGAAACGCCAGAAAAAAACACGACGTGACGGGCGAGGCAACGTCAGAAAAAACACGGCGTGACGGGCGAGGAAACGCCAGAAGAAACACGGCGTGACGGGCGAGGAAACGCCAGAAAAAACACAGCGTGACGGG